AAAAAACTTGTGTTATTTTGGCAAGTACTACGTCCTAGTAAAGTTTCCCGATTAAAAACTGAACCACCCTGTATATAAAAACTTTTTTGAGGTTATGTTCTTAATTATTGATCAAATCAAAAAATTTTATTAACAATATTTGTTTGGAATTACTTCAGGAACAGTGTTTGTTAATAAAAATTTTTGCTAGCTTGAAATTTTAATTTCCCTCTGAATAGTATGCCATCAAAATTAATTATCTCGATAACTATTGGTTTTATCAAAAAACGTTTTAAATAAAACTTGTTCCACTTTCGATTTTGAATCAATTATCTTAACAAAAATTTTTTGAATCTCTATTACTTAAGCATCTATGTGTGATTATGTATAAAAAGGGAAAAATTATTATTTTGGGGATATCTCCTTAATTATTAATTAAATCAAAAAAAATTGTTGATAAAGTTTGTTTAGAATTGTTTCGGGAACAATTTTTGTTAACACAATTTTTTTCTAACTCGAAATTTTAATTTCCCACTGAATAGTATNGTATTTTTGCTCTCAGATGCGTCAATATTGAGAAAAATGCGAAAATATGAAAATTTGAAGAATTCGTTGTTTTACTAGTAATTAATGGTAGCATTCGGGAATCGGAGCATGATACAAAAAAAGTTTTAGAACAAAAGTTGTAGCAAATTTTATTCTTACCAATATTGCTTTCTTCTACTCTTGCTCCCAGATGCATCAATATTGAGAAAAATTAAAAAATATGAAAATTTAGTGTTTTTCGTTGTTTTACTACAAGTTAATGGTAGCACTCGAAAATCGGAGCATGGTACAAAAAGACTTTTAAAACAAAAGTTGTAGCAAATTTTATTGTTAACAATATTACTTTCTTGCACTTTTGTTCTTAGATACGTCAAAATCGAGATAGATACGAAAATATAAAAATTTTATGAATTTGTTGCGCTTTCAAGTCATTAAAGGTAACACTTTGGAATCGGAGTTTCCTATAAGAAAACTTTTATAACAAAAATTGTTGCAAATTTTATTGTTAACAATATTGCTCTCTTACACTATTGCTCTTAGATACGTCAATATCGAGATAGATACGAAAATATGAAAATTTGATGAATTTGTTGCTCTTTCAAGTTATTAAAGGTAACACTTGAGAATCGGAGCTTGCTATAAGAAAATTTTTATAAGAAAAGTTGTGGCAAATTTTATTCTTCACAATATTGCTCTCTTGCACTTTTATTGTCAGATGCATCAATATCGAGAAAAATTCGAAAATGCTTCACCACGTCATTGATTAGTCGATAGGTTTCGCCTCACTATCCCATTTGTTCGTCATTCTGTATCAAAACTTGCGCTGCATTTACCAACAGGAACTTACCAACACTTAGAAGATGAATATCTTCAATTTATTTTAATTTAAAATTTTTTTTTATAAAGTCCAAGATGTCCAAAAACTAATGATACTTAATTATTATGATAGATAATGAAGAAACGTTCAAAATGAGTCCAAACTCGACATATCTAAGTGTTACAACTCCCAACATATCTTTGTTTTTATAAAATCAAGATGGCCGAAAACAAAACACTAATTATTTGTGTCAGTTATACTTTTAAAACTGAATGTTATGGTAAATATGGGATGTGGCGCATCAAATTAGGTTACAATTTTCTGATTTTGACGAAAATCTTAGTTTTTTTTAATGAAATTAAATATTTATGGAATTAAAGATTGCCGAAAGGAAGTAATTCCTAAATATTAGTGAAGATAATTAATTTTGATGGTAATAATCGGGAATCCGAACATATTACAAAAATATTTTTAGAACTAAAGTTGTAGCAAATTTTATTCTTAGCAATATTGCTCTCTTGCACTTTTGCTCTCAGATGCGTCAATATCGAGATAGATACAAAAATATGACAATTTTATGAATTTGTTGCTTTTTCAAGTGATTAAAGGTAACACTTGGAAAACGGAGCGTGCTATAAAAAAACTTTTAGAAGAAAAGTTGTAGCAAATTTTATTGTTAGCAATATTGCTCTCTTATATATTTGCTCTCAGGTCCGTCAATATTGAGAAATATAAGAAAATATGAAAATGTGAAGAATTCGTTGTTTTACTAGTAATTAATGGTAGCATTTGGGAATTGGAGAACGTTACAAAAAAACTTTTAGAACAGAAGTTGTAGCAAATTTTATTCTTACCAATATTGCTCTCTTATATATTTGCTCTCAGATTAGTCAATATTGAGAAAAATAAAAAATATGAAAATTAAGGTTTTTGGTGATTCAAATCTGTCATAACTAGGGCACGGAACTTTTGTAACAAAACGATACGATTTCCCCCCTCCACTCGTTCTCAGCAGATAATTTCATACAAAAGTTGTTCTAAATTAAATTCGAAAACAATTTTCTCAATAAAAAATATATATAAAAATTGTTTTGAGGTTATGTTCTTCAAATCAAAAAATATTATTAACAAAATTTGTTTAGAATTACTTCAGGAACAGTGTTTGTTAATAAAATTTGTTGCTAACTCGAAATTTTAATTTCCCACTGAATAGTATGCTACAAAAATTAATATTTTTGAGGTTATATCCTTATTGTTGGTTTAATCAAAAAATGTTGTCAACATAATTTGTTTAGAATTACTTCAGGAACAAAGTTTGTTAATAAAAATTTTTGCTAACTTGAAATTTTAATTTCCTTCTGAATAGTATGCCATCAAAATTAATTATCTCGATAATTATTGGTTTTATCAAAAAAATTTTTAAATAAAACTTGTTCCAATTTCGATTTTGAATCAATTATCTTAATAAAAAAATTTTACATTCTCTATTAATTAAGCATCTAAGTGTGATTATGTATAAAAACGGAAAAATTATTATTTTGAGGTTATCTCCTTAATTATTGATTAAATCAAAAAAAATTGTTGACAAAGTTTGTTTAGAATTGTTTCAGGAACAATTTTTGTTAACACAATTTTTTTCTAACTTGAAATTTTAATTTCCCTCTGAATAGTATGCCATTAAAATTAATTATCTCGATAATTATTGGTTTAATCAAAAAATGTTTTAAATAAAACTTGTTCCAATTATCTTAATAAAAAATTTTGGCATCTTTCTTAATTAAGCATCTAAGTGTGATTATGTATAAAAAGGGAAAAAATTCGTTTTCAATTTATAATAATTTATTATCATTAAATTCCATACTTTTTTAATCATAATAAAATAACATTAGACAGAACGTCGCTTTTTCTTGGAGTTAAAAAGGGGTAAATAATAATAATATAAAGAAATAAGGGGAGCAAAATAAAGAAAAAGTTCTATTTAAATAACTTACAGGTTAAAGTTAAAGGGGGCAGCAAAAAAACAATTCAATATAGTAGCAATGAGACATAATATAATAATTTAGACGTTTTTGTGAAACTCTCAACACCTCTTCTTTTTATCTTCCTCCTTCCAATGCTGCTAATCGATGAAACTCTGCTCCACGCACGCCTTCACTCTCTTCTCATACTCCCTCCTATTCTCTTTATAAAGCTGAGCAGCCATTGAATTTGCTGGGGAATTCGGATTTGGATCACTAAGTAAAGACTAAAGAGACAAAAAGTGAATTAAANAGTCACAAAGTTTGTTTAGAATTATTTCAGGAACAATTTTTGTTAACAGAATTTTTTTCTAACTCGAAATTTTAATTTCCCACTGAATAGTATGCTTCAAAAATTAGTATTTTTGAGGTTATATCCTCAATTGTTGATTTAATCAAAAAATGTTAACAAAATTTGTTTAGAATTACTTCAGGAACAGAGTTTGTTAATAAAAATTTTTGCTAACTTGAAATTTTAATTTCCCACTGAATAGTATGCCATCAAAATTAATTATCTCAATAATTATTGATTTTATCAAAAAATGTTTTAAATAAAACTTGTTCCAATTTCGATTTTGAGCCAATTATCTTAATAACAAATTTTGGCATCTCTCTTAATTAAGCATCTAAGTGTGATTATGTATAAAAAGGGAAAAATTCGTTTTCAATTTATAATAATTTATTATCATTAAATTCCATACTTTTTTAATCATAATAAAATAACATTAGACACAACGTCGCTTTTCCTTGGAGTTAAAAAGGGGTAAATAATAATAATATAAAGAAATAAGGGGAGCAAAATAAAGAAAAAGTTCTATTTAAATAACTTACAGGTTAAAGTTAAAGGGGGCAGCAAAAAAACAATTCAATATAGTAGCAATGAGACATAATATAATAATTTAGACGTTTTTGTGAAACTCTCAACACCTCTTCTTTTTATCTTCCTCCTTCCAATGCTGCTAATCGATGAAACTCTGCTCCACGCACGCCTTCACTCTCTTCTCATACTCCCTCCTATTCTCTTTATAAAGCTGAGCAGCCATTGAATTTGCTGGGGAATTCGGATTTGGATCACTAAGTAAAGACTAAAGAGACAAAAAGTGAATTAAAATGATATTTTAAGCTTATTTTTGACTCATTTAGTACCTGTATTGAGGTCAGGATTGCAGAAACGTCATAAGTGGGGCTCCATCTGTTCTGTAAAATATCAATATCGGGAGTCCTAGTATGTTATTAAAAAACTTTTAGAAAAAAAGTTGTAGCAAATTTTATTCTTACCAATATTGCTCTCTTCTACTCTTGCTCTCTGATGCGTCAATATTGAGAAAAATGCGAAAATATGAAAATTTGAAGAATTTGTTGTTTTACTAATAATTATTGGTAGCATTTGGGAATCGGAACATGTTACAAAAAAACTTTTAAAACAAAAGTTGTAGCAAATTTTATTCTTACCAATATTGCCCTTTTCTACTCTTGCTCTCTGATGCGTCAATATTGTTAAAAATACAAAAATATTAAAATTTGAAGAATTTGTTGTTTTACTAATAATTAATGGTAGCATTNTCATAATAAAATAACATTAGACACAACGTCGCTTTTCCTTGGAGTTAAAAAGGGTAAATAATAATAATATAAAGAAATAAGGGGAGCAAAATAAAGAAAAAGTTCTATTTAAATAACTTACAGGTTAAAGTTAAAGGGGGCAGCAAAAAAACAATTCAATATAGTAGCAATGAGACATAATATAATAATTTAGACGTTTTTGTGAAACTCTCAACACCTCTTCTTTTTATCTTCCTCCTTCCAATGCTGCTAATCGATGAAACTCTGCTCCACGCACGCCTTCACTCTCTTCTCATACTCCCTCCTATTCTCTTTATAAAGCTGAGCAGCCATTGAATTTGCTGGGGAATTCGGATTTGGATCACTAAGTAAAGACTAAAGAGACAAAAAACGAATTAAAATGATATTTTAAGCTTATTTTGGACTCATTTAGTACCTGTATCGAGGTCAGGATTGCAGAAACGTCATAAGTGGGGCTCCATCTGTTCTGTAAAATATCAAGACATATTCCCCCATCAGCATATACATTTGGATGAAACATGTGGCTCACAAATCGAACCGTAGGGGGTTTATTTGGGTATTCCTCAGTAAATTCAATGGTTAACTTAAAAGTGCCATCTTCAAACGGCGTATCATGTGGCCCAAATATCACCGCGTTCCAAATCATGATGTTATTATCAGTGGGGGCCCCGCTTACCCCCGTTGGAGGATCCTCTTGTAACCTAAATTCGAAAAATTTTTTTTTAATTTAATCGACATAAATTAATCACGAATTATTTACCTTTTAAAATCTCGCATTAAACGTCTTCGGGCGGGCGTGGACATATCGCGGGATTAAAATTTATTAGAAAAACCAACTCAATTTGAGTTCCTTTTTTTTGACAGTTCACTGAAAATCCTAACGGCGGCGAATTTCCGATGACGGCCCCAATTTCACGGGATTAACGCGATTCACGACACTTCGGGCCACCGAAACGAACTTGAATGACATATATAAAGGTAAAAAACGAGTTATTTTCGAGAAGAAATCAATTCGCAACTTTACACGGAGAGGTTAAATAACAATTTTGACAGTCATTGTGGCGAATGGTTCGATACGTCATCGAGGGGGGGCGCTAGCGTCGGTTTTTATTATTTTAATTTTGTTGTTTAAAAGNGAAAAATGCGAAAATATGAAAATTTGAAGAATTTGTTGTTTTACTAATAATTATTGGTAGCATTTGGGAATCGGAACATGTTACAAAAAAACTTTTAAAACAAAAGTTGTAGCAAATTTTATTCTTACCAATATTGCCCTTTTCTACTCTTGCTCTCTGATGCGTCAATATTGTTAAAAATACAAAAATATTAAAATTTGAAGAATTTGTTGTTTTACTAATAATTAATGGTAGCATTTGGGAATCGAAGCATGTTACAAAAAAACTTTTAAAACAAAAGTTGTAGCAAATTTTATTCTTACCAATACTGCTCTGTTGTATTTTTGCTCTCAGATGCGTCAATATTGAGAAAAATGCGAAAATATGAAAATTTGAACAATTTGTTATTTTAGTAGTAATTAATGGTAGCATTTAGGAATCGGAGCTTGATACAAAAAAACTTTTAGAACAAAAGTTGTAGCAAATTTTGTTCTTACCAATATTGCTCTGTTGTATTTTTGCTCTCAGATGCGTCAATATNGGGGGGCGCTAGCGTCGGTTTTTATTATTTTAATTTTGTTGTTTAAAAGTTTCTAATTCGGTTTTAATTTGATTGTTGTTGTTTAGTTAAATAATGGTTGGTTTTTGATCGAATTAGCGTTAAATTAATTTAAATAAAAAAATTGATTTGAATCGAAAAAAAAAAAAGATTGGTACCCCTGATCTGATCTGATCTATCTAATAATTTTCATATTTTCGTATCTACCTCGATATTGACGCATCTAAGAGCAAAAGTGTAAGAGAGCAATATTGTTAAGAATAAAATTTGCTACAATTTTTGTTATAAAAGATTTCTTATAGCATGCTCCGATTACCTTTAATATATTGAAAGACAAATTCAAAAGAAATTCATCAAATTTTCGTTATATCTCGATATTGACGTATCTAGGAGCAAAAGTGCAAAAGAGCAATATTGTTAAGAATAAAATTTGCTACAACTTTTGTTCTAAAAGTTTTTTTGTATCATGCTCCGATTTTAACTAATAGTGAAACAACGGAAAACATCAAATTTTCATATTTTCGTATTTTTCTCAATATTGACACATCTGAGAGCAAAAATACAATAGAACAGTATTGTTAACAATAAAATTTGCTACAACTTTTGTTTTAAAAGTTTTCTTGTAACATGCTCCGATTCCCGAGTGCTACCCATTAGTTGTAGTGAAACAGCAAATTCTAAAAATTTTCATATTTTGGCATTTTTCTCAATATTGACGCATCTGAGAGCAAANGTTTCTAATTCGGTTTTAATTTGATTGTTGTTGTTTAATTGAATAATAGGTAGTTTTTAATCGAATTAGCGTTAAATTAATTGAAATAAAAAAATTGATTTGAATCCAAAAAAAAAAAAGATTGGCACCCCTGATTTGATCTGATCTGTCTAATAATTTTCATATTTTTGTATCTACCTCGATATTGACGTATCTAGGGGCAAAAGTGTAAGAGAGCAATATTGTTAAAAATAAAATTTGCTATAACTTTTGTTTTAAAAGTTTTTTTGTAATTTGCTCCGATTATCTTTAATATATTGAGAAAGTAACAAATTCATCAAATTTTCGTTATATCTCGATATTGACGCATCTAAGAGCAAAAATGCCAGAGAGCAATATTGTTAAAAACAAAATTTGCTACAACTTTTGTTCTAAAAGTTGTTTGATAACATACTCCGATTTCCAAATGTTACCATTAGCTAAGAGTAAAACAAGGAAATTCATCAAATTTTTAAATTTTCCTATATTTCTCAATATTGACGCATCTGAGAGCAAAAATACAACAGAGCAATATTGTTAATAACAAAATTTGCTACAACTTTTGTTCTAAAAGTTTTTTTGTATCATGCTCCGATTCCTGAATGTTACCATTAGCTAATAGAAAACAAAACATTCATCAAATTTTTAAATTTTTCTCAATATTGACGCATCTGAGAGCAAATATACAAGAGAGCAATATTGGTAAGAATAAAATTTGCAACAACTTTTGTTCTAAAAGTTTTTTTGTATCATGCTCCGATTCCCGAGTGCTACCCATTAACTTGTAATAAAACAACGAATTCTTCAAATTTTCACATTTTCGCATTTTTCTCAATATTGACGCATCTGAGAGTAAGAATACAACAGAGCAATATTAGTAAGAATAAAATTTGCTACAACTTTTGTTTTAAAAGTTTTTTTGTAACATGCTCCGATTCTCGAGTGTTACCCATTAACTTGTAGCAAAACAACGAATTCTTCAAATTTTCATATTTTCACATTTTTCTCAATATTGACGTATCTGAGAGCAAAAATACAATAGAACAATATTGGTAAGAATCTAATTTGCTACAACTTTTGTTCTAAAAGTTTTTTTGCATCATGCTCCGATTTTCGAGTGCTACCCATTAAGTTGTAGTAAAACAACAAATTCTTCAAATTTTCATATTTTTCTCAGTATTGACGCATCTGAGTGCAAGAGTAGAAGAGAGCAATATAGGTAAGAATAAAATTTGCTACAACTTTTGTTCCAAAAGTTTTTTTATACCATGCTAGGATTCCCGAATGCTACCATTAATTACTAGTAAAACAACGAATTCTTCAAATTTTCATATTTTCTTAGTTTTCTCAATATTGACGCATCTGAGGGGAAAAGTAGAAGAGAGCAATATTGGTATGAATAAAATTTGCTGCAACTTTTGTTCTAAAAGTTTTTTTGTATCACGCTCCGATTCCCGAGTGCTACCCATTAACTTGTAGTAAAACAACAAATTCTTCAAATTTTCATATTTTCGCATTTTTCTTAATATCGACGCATCTGAGAGCAAATGTATAAGAGAGCAATATTGTCAAAAATAAGATTAGCTACAACTTTCGTTCCAAAAGTTTTTTTATAACATGCTCCAATTTCCAAGTGTTGCCATTAACAATTTGTAAAATAACGAAATTCATCAAATTTTCATATTTTCGTATTTTTTTCGATATTAACACATCTGAGAGCAAAAATACAAGAGAGCAATATTGTTAATAGTAAAATTTGCAACAACTTTTGTTCTAAAAGTTTTTTTATAACATGCCTCGATTCCTGATTGTTACAACCACTTGAAAAAGCAACAAATTCATCAAATTTTTATATTTTCGCATTTTTCTCAATATTGACGCATCTGAGAGCAAAAGTGAAAGATAACAATATTATTGTTAAGGCATTTAATTGTTATTATAATTTTTATTGTTATTCCGTTTAAATGATTTTCTTAATTTGAATTTATATTTTTTTTGTTGTTTTCCAATTCGTGACGTGTGGTCGAAGTACCACGTTCCGCCCGTGTTGGTTATAACATGAATTTGGTAAAACCGAATATATTCGGCTTTATACCTCAAGCAATGTAACATCGTCAAAATTACATTAAAATTTAGTAAAATAAATTTCAAGAGTTTAATTCTATCACAAAAACAAAGAATAAACGAATCAGCGATTAAACACTAACAATTATTAAGATTTAAATATGCTACAACTTTTGTTCTAAAAGTTTTTTTATAACATGCTAGGATTCCCGAATGCTACCATTAATTACTAGTAAAACAACGAATTCTTCAAATTTTCATATTATCTTAGTTTTCTCAATATTGACGCATCTAAGAGCAATAGTGTAAGAGAGCAATATTGTTAAGAATAAGATTTAAAACAATTTTTGTTATAAAAGTTTTCTTATAGCATGCTCCGATTTCCAAGTGTTACCTATAATAGCTTGAAAGAGCAACAAATTCATCAAATTTTCATATTATCGTATCTATAGAGTATATTTATTTGTAACTCTATATTAATTAATTATATAATAAAATATTAAAAATTAAAATGGAGTATTTGGTAGACTGTTTTATGTTTGTCTACCAGTTTATTTATTATTTTATGACTATAACANATTTCGAAAAAATTTTATTAGAAAGATCGCTTCAGAATAATGTATCCTACAACCGTATAATGCTCTGATGCGGAAGATACGGGACACGCTGTATATCTCAATTTTGACGTATATAAGAGCAAAAGTGCAAGAGAGCGATATTGTTAACAATAAAATTTGCAACAATTTTTATTATAAACGTTTTCTTATGGCACGCTCCGATTCCCAAGTGTTTCCGTTAATAACTTGAAAGTGCAACAAATTCATCAAATTTTCGTATATATCTCGATATTGACGTATCTAAGAGCAAAAATGCAAGACAGCAATATTGTTAACAATAAAATTTGTAACAATTTGATTATAAGAGATTTCTTATAGCATGCTCCGATTTCCGAATGTTATCTTTAATAACTTGAAAGAGCAACAAATTCATCAAATTTTAGTATATATCTCGATATTGACGCATCTAAGAGCAAGAATACAAAAGAGCAATATTGTTAATAATAAAATTTGCAACAATTTTTGTTATAAAAGTTTTCTTATAGCATGCTCTGATTCCCAAGTGTTACCTTTAATAACTTGAAACAGTAACAAATTCATAAAATTTTCATATTTTCGTATCGATCTCGATATCGACCTATCTAAGAGCAAAAGTGCAAGAGAGCAATATTGTTAACAATAATATTAGCTACAACTTTTGTTCTAAAAGTTTTTTTGTATCATGCTCCGATTTTCGAGTGCTACCATTAACTGTTAGTATAACAACAAAAAACATTAAATTTTCATATTTTTGTGTTTTTCTCAATATTGACGCATCTAAGAGCAAGAGTAGAAGAGAGCAATATTGGTAACAATAAAATTTGCTACAACTTTTGTTTTAAAAGTTTTTTTGTATCATGCTCCGATTTTCAAGTGCTACCCATTAACTTGTAGTAAAACAACGAATTCTTCAAATTTTCATATTTTCGCATTTTTCTCAACATTGACGCATCTGAGAGCAAATATACAAGAGAGCAACATTGTTAGTAACAAAATTT